TATATATTTATTTATTTATTTTTAGACTCTTTCATATTTATTTATTTGTTAGTTGTTCGGTTTCTTGATCTGGGACCTGAGTCTGAATTTCGTACCATAAACATACAAATGTGAGCTGGTATGACAATAATTAACAGTCCTTTAAATCAAAGTAAATTTCCACATTATTAACTCATCGAGTATAAAATTCATACATGTGTTTTGTGGGGGGTTTTCTGGTCTATAAATGTGATCTACAAATGCATTACCACATATCTGCTTTGTGTTATTGTGATTAGCCCATTATTTTGCTGCTCAAATTCAGTAAAATCCTCCCAAGTAATCCCTCATATTGTTGCATGATTGCATGTCTCATAAATGTATTTCTTCTGTACATTCAGTGTGAACGGCAGGACAACAGGGACCAGTGAATCAGACTCCATTTGTTGGGATTTATCTGTTTAATAACTGTGAGAGTTGCGTTGTTCCACCCTGAGGACTTCATAATAATGCACCCAGGCTCCCAGTCATCACTAATGCTCTATCAAATGGACCTGCTATGTCTCATATTTTTCCTCCATCAGGTCCCTTGTTACTTTTTGTACAGTAGTATAATTCTCCAGCTCTTTGGGGGTTTCAAGCTGGTGACCTCGAGGTGTATATAAGATCTAGAGAGCTGTCTCCCACCAATGAATCTAGCTAAGGCACCGCATAGAGAGAACTCAAACCACGCTCAGGACGAAGCCCTCTTCTGTTTAAGGAGCATCATCTGCAAACTTCTTCTGTAGCTAGCAACAATCCTCCCTAGCTTCAGATCATGGACACAGCTGCAGTAGTGACTCTTCTGGCTCTGGCGATGGCTGGAGCCAGTCAGGCTCTTCGGGTCCAAGGCGGCTTGGATAAAAATGACATTCAGCCTGGCAGCTCAGAGGAGAACACGGCTGATCGCCTGCTGGTGCTGGTGAGACAACAGATCACTCAAACATCTGAATTGCAAATTCTTCATAAATTGATGCACGTTGACTCTTTGACATTCAGTTTGCTCTGAAATGCAAATGTGCGCTCCTGTTTGCGTAACTTTGACATCAACAAATGACAATCAAATGTGGAAAGGTATCTGTGGCAAGTGTCATTTTGTGTTAAAATATTTCAGTTTACATATAAAATGTTACATTAAAGTGAACTACGTCTGTGCATGAACAGGAGTCAAGCTAACCTGTTCAAAGTCTGTCACCTTCAAATGATGCAGAACTTAAATGAAAAGTAAATTTTTCATGCAACACCATGAAATAAACTTATGTGAGACATTCAGAGCTGGATAGAGACTAATAAAAGACATTAATTCATATCACAATTTAAAATATGTTTATTTCTTCTTGTAGCTTGCCAGAATAATCAGAACTGGTTTTAGTTTAGCAAAAAAAAAAAAAAATCAAGCAGAAAAGCGTTGCATTTTTCACTTTTGTGCTTATTTACATTTCAAGGTCTTTGCGCAGCAGGACAGAGCTGTTGGCGTTGACACTCGGAGGATTCTGAATCTAATGCGTATCTTAGGTCTCATTTCGTTAGAGAAAACAAGCTTTGCAACTTTGTGAAGGTGTTTGTGTAAATGTGTTTGCTTCAGGAGCGTGAAAGCAGAGACACTGACGAGCATCTGCTGGCCTCAGTGTTAAGATCTCTGCTGCTCGGATCGCAGAGAGAAAGCAGGGAGTCTGTTCTCCATCAGCCACAGAGGTCAGTGAATTCACTGCAAAATGCTTTATTCATGTTTCACTAAATAAGCACCGCAGGCTCTGTTTGTAGCTGAAGTCTTTTTGCATGATAGATGGAAAAACTTCAGTAACGATCCACTTTTGATGTCATTATGAACATGATTCATTTTCATGTCCGGTCAAAGCTATTAAGAGCCAGAGCAAAGATGTCAACAGGCCACATGCTGCTCCGGAACCACAGGTTGCAGACCCCCACCTTGAAGGCTTCTGCAATTTGTAGTTTAGTATAAAAGGAAAATCCATTTAACTATTTGCAGCTACTCACAAATCTACATTTTAAAATAGCACAAAGTGGAATGAATGCCCTTATTACTCATATCACAGAGGTGCCCATTTGGATAAGTGGTTCAAGACATAAATGCTCTTATTATGGTAAAAATGGGAACATGTTTTTACCAGTAGTAATGGTCTCAGCCTTGGATGTTGAAATCCCCGAGTGCAGTAAAACGTATCCTCTAGAGCTCTGTTCAGTGAAATAAAATTAAGGATTACCAAAATCCTCATTAGTTTTATATATTTGTGGGCTTTGATGTGTGTTTTGTGGGTTCAAGTTAGAGTTGTTAATGGTTGAACTTGTGAAAAGAAACACATCTATTTTCATTAACTTCACATTTTATGGGCTGCTTCGATGACAACTTTAAATATTTGCAAACATTCACTGAAAGCTCAAAACTTTAATGACTAATTCATAATGAGAACGATGATTTATATATTTTTAAAGTAATATTCCTTAAACAAAAAAACTTCTTATTAATAAATGTACAAACGCTGCTCAGAATAAAACCACACCTTGAATGACATCTGTCCCCTGCTGTGTTTTTCCTCTGGCGTAGGTTTGGGCGCGGCTCCAGAGGGCAGGTCGTGTTGGAGGATCAGATCCAAACTCGAGACTGGGAGGCCGCCCCCGGTCAGATCTGGAGCATGGCCGTACCCCAGAGGTTTGGCAAGAAATAATCTGGCAGGCCGATCCCATTATTTCTCTGGAACGAGGCCAAAGAGCAGGCAGATGTGAACAGACTGAGTTTAAATGAAATATTCTGTATTTGCATTTCTCCACTCTGTTGAATAAAAGTCGTTAGGCCTCATTTTGACTCTCATTAAAGAATGACATTCATAGTTTTAATAGCATTTTTGCTCTAATTCCTGATCCTGTAAAGCATGTTAACTTTGAGGTGATCCAAGTAAACCTTGTTTATACAGACTGGGATGTGATTAAGGAACAAAAGTTGTTGCTAATTGATTATTCCTGTTTTTTTCTGATCTCTGGTCAAATAAAAATACTTAGAGCTGGAAAAAGCTCCCTCCCTCCTCTCTCGGTGTGTGTGTTCCATAAGATTATTGATTCCAGTTAATACCTTATGCATGTTGTGATGACTGTTCAAAGAAAATAAAGATTTTTTAAATTAAATTTTCATGATGGAATTCAGAAAAGTATTCATGTTGAATTTTTATAAAAATAAAAAAAAAATTCTAGAATTGCGCCACTCGGGGTGGCTGCATGTTGGAGAAGCTCTGTTACATTTATTCTGAGTTATTGCTTTTGAAAACTTTAATTCCTTTTTTGTCTGAATGTAAATCACTTTTTTTGGATGGTTGTTTCATCTGGTATCGGATGCTATGCAGTTGGAAGGATTTTTTACTGAAAGCTTTTTACTTATGGGCATTTGTTATGATGTGTAACCATGGCAACAAGGTGTTTTTTGTTAACAGCCAGGAGCAGCTGATTAACATCTCAAAGATCAAATACTTCAACTATGGCCTCAAATCCCAAAATGTGTTGAAAAGAGGTGCCGTGGACGAATTCCCGTCAACCTGGCTCAAGTACCTGACCGCCGAGATCCTGGAGCTGGTGGGAAACTCGGCTCGTGACAAGGGGAGGGCCAGGATCACCCCCCAGCACTTTCAGTTGTCTGTCGGTGGTGAGGAACTCGACACACTATGGAGTGACCATCGCTCAGGGCAGAATTCTGCCCGACATTCAGGCAGTCCTCTGCCCAGGAGGACCAAGAGGCCCGCCGGATCTGACAGCAAGCTGGATCTGGGGGGACGGATCAGTATCTGGGGCCAGATTCTTCAGATTCACTGCAGGAGATCATTCCTGCCCACAGCTATCATCATCCATAACAACTCTTGAACCAGGATGATGAGCAACAACAACACTTAATTTCCCTTTGGAATTAATAAAGTAATTTTGAATCAAATTGAATCAAATTTATTTGTAATTTAATGTTAATTCCCACATTTTGTCTGTCAACTGTGGTATCTTTAAATGTTCTCTTCTGTCCAGCCTGAAATCATTCAGCTTGTCTTCAAGGTAAATGATTTGCGAAGCCATGAACCTGCTTCTTTTGACTCCATTACTTCTAACAATCTTTCACATGTTTAAGTTTTATTTTATTTTATGTTTGCAAGTGTGAAAACCATTGTTTTTGAAGTCCGTCTTGTCTGTTTCATGATTTATTGAAATTTGATGCTAGGAAAATTTATTCATTCATTTTTATCTTCTTGTGTAGTTTGCACATTCTCCCCAGGCATAAGTTTCTTTGGTTTACTCCCATGATCCAGAGATTTTCATGTTAGTTTTGTGTGATGTTTGTCTTGTGTGTGCATTGGCCTTGTGATGCACCAGTGATCTGATCTAGATGTTTTCCCTAGTATGCACTGTGATAGCTGGGTTAGCACCCAGCCCACCTTCAATTCTTATTTCTTTAATACTTTTATTATCACAACATCTTAATATTGATTTTGTTTGTATTTAAATTTCCTTTCCAGGACTATGGATTGCTACTCTGCACCATAAATGGGCACTGAAGGGACAGACTAACACGTTGTTGTCAATATTTAGGTCCACAGTGTGAATCAAAATTGTAGCACAATAAAAGTTGATTCTCAAGCCATTACAGATTATTGATGAGGGACACTGGGTGACACATTTGATCCCTCCTAGTGGAATACAATATTAAACTTTGTTGGCTCATCTACCAGACCAAACATATTTTAGGTTAATTTGTAGGGTATTAAAGGTTATTTCATATATTATAAACAAGAACTGAGTTTAATCATATTTTTGTTGTACTTGCAGTTCAGTTATAGATCTGGTTTAACTGGATCACTGTGAAAATAGTTTAATCCTTCATCTCTTTAATGTAAACCAATGCTCAGTCTTTGTCCACAGCCATGCAGGGGCTGTTGTGTGGGTTAGATTTACAGGCACCTGGGGAAAACAGCATGCAATAAGCCTGAGCACTAATTAAAACACAGCAACATGCAATTACTCCACGAGTTAATGGTTTCCACATCCAATTACTAGCAAGGAAAGCATGTCAGGCTCTCTTAGCAAGTGTCTTTTATTAAACCATCCCCTCATTCCATTATCTGAGCCCAGAAGAAAAAAAAAAAAAAACTAACAACAAACAGATGCAAATTTGATTCAGGTGACATCTTGATTTTATTAGGTTGTAATGGTTAATTCATGGTTTAATCAAGCTGCAGTGTGACAACTTTGAGTTCTTATGCAGAGCATGTTTTGGGGATTTCACAGCAATAATGGTTCTATTCTGAAACTTTCAGATGTGTGTGTGTGTGTGTGTGTGTGTGTGTGGGGGGGGGGATTATAATTTAACAATTTAAAAACATGATATATATTAACTAAACATCATCACCACAAGCACAATGATAGGAAGATACTCTGATAAAAAAAAAAAAAATATATATATATATTTATATATATACACAACGTCTCCATGATAGCAACACATTTTAATTAAATCGTAAAATGCTGATTTATGTGGGTTTATTACTTTGTGGCAGACAAGAAAAAGACTGTGGAGACATTAAGTACCAATAAATATTAATTTCTGTTGTTTCAGGGTATGGGACAAACGGTATAATCTGGTTTCAACCCAGCAGGCTATGACTACTTTATTATTAATGTTGACAAATGCAGAAATCAAATTTCTTTCTCTCGCTTGTAAAGCAAACCAAAGTTGCAATGTTGTTCAGAAGATAAAGAAAATCAGTTTAACAGCATGACAGAAAACTGATAACTGCTTCATATATTTAAAAAAAGAGTAAACAGAGAACAATTGCTGTTGAATTTTGTTAAAATTCTCGAACCACCGCTGGACTTTGTGTGCGCGTAACATATACCTTCAAAGCAAAATAGTAAAGGAAAATGCAATAAAATAAACAAATTGCTATGTTTTTATAGTCCCCATGCAATATCGAATTATTGACTGGTGTCAAATCTTGCCTTCGCCCAAAGGCTGCAGCCAATGATGTCCTGGATCCAGTGGTAAAATGAGAAAATGGGAAATGTGTTTAGAGATAGATGTCTGCAGAAAAACCCACCGCCACACACTGATTATAACATGTAATAGAGCTGAGTTAGTTTCTGTATGAGTCTTTTAGCAATACTTTGCTTATAACACTTTAAATGCATAACATTATTAGCAAAAATAACAGATAATATTAAAACTATTCCCAGGATTATAAACATATTTAATCCCAGTGCACAAATATTTGTTTTAATTGTCATCATCTGTGACAGTAAAATAAAAGCAGGCGAACATGACGCTCACAGAGGCACATTTTAGAATGGCAGGGTGCTGTTTCTTATATTTTGTAGCATATGAGAAGAACATCTAGACTGAGGAAAGAGTTATTTGAATTTCATGAATCTGCTGGGGAGCATACTTGTGTGCAGTACAGAGTGCAGTACTGAGCGGTACAAAGATTTTCTCTTACACCTCTGCAAGTTTAAACCAAAAAACCTGGACTGCATTCGAGTTGTTCTAATCCATCTGAGGCTTGTTGGCCTTTTCTTGACCCTCTAAAATCCCTCTTTCCCTCGTGGTCATCACGTTAGAGGGCAGCCATCTTGAACAGGAAAGAGGGAGGTCTCCGTCTTCACTAACTATATGGCCATGACTCAGCACAATTTGTCACACCTAAAAAGCTTTAATGGCTGCTGGGGAAGGGAATAATTAAGGGGAATGACAAGGGTAAACTGTGCTCTGCTGCACAGGATGGGTTTTAGGTTGTCTCAAGTCTACATAAAATGGCACAAAATATTTGACATAAGCATCAAACACCATTTATATTTCACTTTGAAACTAAAGTTTAATTTTATAAGCCCAACTGGCTGAAAATGCAATGCAGTGACCCTTTGGGTTACTTTTGCTCTTTTTAATGAAAAAAGCCAATCTCATCAACATTTTCGCAAAACAATCACTATGAATTTAATTTTCTTTAAAATGTTTTAGAGAATCCAGCAGTCACAATGTGAGAGGTGGAGGACAACCTGGACAGTTCACCAGTCCGTCACAGGAACACATAGAGTCAAACGAGACAATCAACAAATCACACTCTCACTCACCTAGGGACAATTTATAGTTACCAGTTAACCCATCATGGATGTTTTTGTTCTGTGGGAGGAAGCAGAATAGGTTCCCAAAACAAACAAACAAACAAACAAACAAACAAACAGACGCACGGAGAAAAAAAAACAAACGTCACTCAAAAAAGTCCAGGGGCCTCATCTACAAAGTTTGCGTATGCACAAAAACGTAGGTGCTGATACTCCCTTTTTCTCATAAACTTTGGCGTGGCCTGGTTGATGATTGAACCCAAAGTGCAGGCAGACACATGGAACTCGAACTGTAACTAAAAGGTATTTATTGAATGGGTATATTTATTGAATGAAAACAAAAGCTGACGTGGCAGCAAAATATACTTTTTGATGAGGAGACAGGTAGGGAGACAGAAACGAGATGCCATATAGGGCAATGCATGGACAAGGAGGAACACGGAGATGCAGAATAAAGAGATGGTAACAAGGAAATAATTACAAACACTTGGGAGAGGACAATGAAGGACAGGTGCAGCAGGAGATGGCAACACAAGGGAAAGCTGGAAAACAAAAGGATCATGAGACACAAAACACAAAGATCCTCACAGTAAACCCCCCCCCCCCCCCCACACACACACACCAACCCCAAGGATGGACCTTGATGTCCCCAAAATCATTCTAATTTGGGTGGAAAAAAGGGGGAAAACAGGACAGAGGGCACAAGAAAAACACAAGGGAAAAAGAAAAACCCAACAGGAAATGACCTGGGCAACTCAAAATTCACACAGTAAGTCCAAGAGTTCAGGCAGACAGCCAGGAGACCATCCAGCACGAGACACTAGTTCAGGCAGGCAGCCAGGAGACCTTCCAGCACAGGCCAAGAGTTCATGTGGATGGCCCAGAGACCATCTGGAGTGAGGCAAGAGCTCAGGAAGATGGCCCGGAGACTGTCCAGAGTGAGGCAGGAGCTCTGTGGGTGGCCAGGAGACTGTCCATCACTGGGCAAGGGTTGCGTCCACCCTCTCCGACTCAGGCTGACGAAAGGTGATGTGACCACTGGAGAGGCTGTGGCTGTCAGCAAAGAGACCACTGGAAAGGCTGCTAAAGCCACCGGAGAGGTCGCGGCTGCAGGTGAACCAGAGATGAGAGCAGCAGACAACAAACTAGGGATGAGAGCCGAAGACATCCAACCAAGGAGGACACGGCGATGATTCAGACAAGAGGATTACAGCTGCTGCTGGGACCAGACGAGCAGTAGATGGAACCAGAAGAGCTGCAGATGGGACCAGCAGATCTGCAGCAGGTGAATTAGACCAGGGCATCTACAGCAGGTGAGGAGACCAGGGGATCTGCAACAGGCACAGAGACCAGGAGATCTGCAGCAGGTGCAGAGACTACGGGATCTACAGCAGGTGAGGAGACCAGGGGACCTACAACAGGCAATGAGACCAGGGGATCTGCAGCAGGTATAGAGACCAGGAGATCTGCAGCAGGCGCAGAGACCAGGGGATCTGCAGCAGGCAGTGAGACAAGGGTATCTGCAGCAGGTGGTGATACCAAGGGATCTTCAGCAGGCATAGAGACCAGGGGATGTGCAGCAGGGTAGATACCACAAAGATCTGCAGGAGGCGTAGAAACCAGCGAGTCTGCAGCAGCCAAAAAGACTTGCAAGTCTGCAGAAGGCATCAAGACCAGCAAGTCTGCAGTGTGCATAGAGACAGGCGAGTCTACAGCAGGTGAAGAGACCGGCAAGGCTGCAGCGGGCATAGCTACCACAGGGGCTGCAATAGGTGTAGCTAACATGTTACCTTGAAGGGTAACTAAAAGATGACACCGCCTATTGCACAGTGATGGCTGGAAATGGACAACAGTGGCCCCTGCGACTGAAAAAGAAGAAGAGGGGAAAAGATAATGGATGGATGGCAGGATGAATGAAAATATTGATGTGGCAGCAAAACTTACATTTTGATGAGGAGGCCCAGGGGGAGACAAAAACGTGATGCCATACAGGACAATGTGCGGACAAGGAGGAACACAGAGATGCAGAATATAAAGAGACACTAAGAAGGAAATTCAATTCCTACAATTCGTATTCCAATACGAGAGAGAGCAGGAAAACAAAAGGATCACAAGACACACAGATCCTCACAAACTTCAGACATATTAAGAATGAAATGAGTGTGGAAATGTGCACAGCCCCATGCCAACATCATGTCTGGCATACGCAAATTTGGTTATTGGTCCATTGGTGACACTTAGAGGAGACACTGAGAAACTATTAATGATGTGAAATTGATTACTGTAATAATAATAATAATAATAATGTGTTATGTGTTGTCATCATTGTATGTTCCCATACAATGGTGAAATTGTTTCTCTGCGTTTAATGCATCGCACCTGGGATACACTCAGGTGGAGCAGTGGGCAGCTATTGAAAGCGCCCGGGGAGCAATTGGGTATAAGGTGTCCTGCTCAGAGACACCATGAGACGTGCAATGACTGGGGATCAAACCTGGGACTTTCAGGTCCCAAGTCGGCTGCCCTGCCTCTACCCCTTCTCAGCCCAGTCATACCAGACGCACTTGATGAACAGTTAATACATCCACATGTATGAAATTAGATGAGTGGATATAAAAGCATGCACAACGTGGTGCAGAAAATACCTTTAACAACAATGGATTTAGCCTCATTAAAGGATATAGCAAATGATGCAATACACATAGAGCGTGTATTTAGAGACAGAGAGGATTTTCTGGCCTAAAGCCTAAAGCCTTGTTTATAATCAGCTGCAGGATTGCACACAGACAACTGCAAGCACTATGAACTTATTGCTGTTCTTATAACACAGAACATTTCTGAATAAAATAAAACATAATAATTTGGCTTCAAGCTGAGAGCTACATGACTTAAAAAACATAATACATCCAGCACAGAATTTAATATCTTGCATGAGACTTCAAAATATCCAGCAACACTTCCTCTCAACACTTTAGTGTTATGTGTGCATTATTTAGCAGCCATTTATTTTGTTTTTACCACTGAGAGGAAACTTGCACAGTATTTTTTTATTGGCTGCAAACCTTTTTTTTTCCTTCAAACAAAGTGATAAACACTTTGTTCATATTAGGAATTAAAAGACGTCTGTGTTTTGTGGTCAAGGTTGTTTTGGAGAGCATGCAGCTGTTGTCATCTCTCTTGCACACAAAAGCCATATGGACTTTTATTAACAGTTTTCTGCTTTCAGGGCGACACTATAATTCAGGAGAAGCTCCAATTATGGTGGCAGCTTTTCATTATCATCACCACTATCCCCACACTCAGCTGTGATTCAAGAAAAGGGAAATCTGGCTTGATGTTGTTGTTGTGTAGGCAGATCCATTGAATCAGCAGCTGAAATAAAATGAAAATTCAGTTTGTGTACTTTTATTTACTTTATATAAGATTACTATACCATAGCTATGTGTCGGAGGTTATGCTCAGCTACTCAGCTCACTGTCTGTAAAACTGTACGAAATAAAACATTTTTGTGTGATAAATCACTTAGCTGTGGTGGCCATTTTAAATAGGGTTAACTACAAAAGTTAATCAGCTGTAGATGTTCATCCAATGATTACTTTTTGAGGGTTTTATTCAAACGGCTCATATTTTCACACCGACTCCCCAGTGTTGCCAGATTGTTGCCAGATCTCACGATAGAAACAAGCAACCAGCTCTATGAAAACAAGCACAAAACAAGTCCAACTGGCAACCCTCCACAATGTGTAAAACAGGCCGTTTTAAAACTGTATAAGCATACATTTATTTTGGCATTACACATAAACAACAGCAAAATTATGCTAAACATTGTGAATAACATACTTTTAAGCTCTGATAAAAAATACATTTTGCATATGTAATTTTTTCTACATATTTTTAAAAACAAAATATCCTGACATCTGCGTGTGAGTGAAGCCCCCTAGTGGTCGGCCACAGTATGACTGTACGTACGTATGTATGTGTGCGCCTGTTGCCTCGCCAACTTTGGATGGAGCGAAAAAACAGGAAACGGTGGCGTGGAAGGGACAAACTACCTACTACCACTCGTCTTTTGATTTATTGTGTGGAGCTGGGAGATAATCAACTAGTTTCACTCGGAAAGAAAGTCAAGCCCAAATAAGCAACTTCATGTTCAAAACAAGCCCAAAAAATATGCAACCCGCGACTTACAAGATTTGCAAGCAACTTTAGAAAAAAACAAACCAAAGTCACTTATAATAAGCGGACTTGGCAACTATGGCCTCTACACTCTCAGAGGTGTGGCTCTGGCCCTTCAGAAGAGGGCAATAAAAAGGAGGGAAATATTTTTTATTAATTTAAAATGTTTTCATTTTTTTAACCATTGGGATTTTGCTTTACAATTGACTTTCAATTTGTTATTATTTTTATTTATTTATTATTTTTTGGAGAAGCTGCAGCAGATGTGAATCTCTGATACATTATTGGTCATCTATCAGATCTGACTTCATTCTTGTCATAGGAAGTGAAGGGCCAAACAAGACTTGACAAGATTTGTGTACTTCTCAGCTAAATTCATGACCAATATTTCTTTCTGCACAAAAGTACTGCAGAGCCAAGACACCATATGCAGCTGGTGTCAAGTATCAGGGCCCAGCAGACGTTTGATACTTGAACACTCGGGCCAAGAGACGATCAATAAGGACACTGCTGGCCAGGCGATACAGAGTTGAAGCCTGGTCAAGAGATAATTTCACTGCTTTCAGGCCTCAAATAAAGATATAATATCATGTAAATAAAGAATTAAGATAATGTATAAAAATATTGTCAAAATGCCATTTCATTAATTCATTCAACCTTTATTTAGACAGCCATAACATGCTATGTGAGAGAAACTTTATGAACTAAATTCAAAGAGAATCACTGAGATACTTTCTTTAAAATACATAATTGGTGGTTTTAAGGTATATGCAGGCTGGTGATTTTAAAAACCCTCCCAAAGCGGTGTTCAAATGATGCATTTTATCTTTTCGATGGAGATAGAGAGAGCGTGTCTTTGTCATCCTCACTCTGCCATCTGTGCAGTGGCTGCAGCAGCACAGCTCTGAGCTCAGACAGCCAATACAGAAAGACAGAAATGCAACGAGAGGGTGGGGCTTTGCGTGAAGGGGAGTCTGATGCAACGAATGGGAACGAAGAAGAGGTGTCCCCGGCTCAGAATGCCCTTGGCTGAACACTGGGATCTGAGAGAGGCAGAGAGGAAGGAGAGCTAAGCTGGAACAGACTCACCAGCAGGTGCCGAGGAAGTCTGAGCGATAAGTGTCCTAAAACAAGGTGGTTAGAAAAAGGGTGAGCTAAATGATAAAAATAAAGAAAGAGTATAGTTAGAGTCTGCTTATTTTTGGGGGCAAAGCTCGAGTCAACGTATTAGAAAATTTAAGCCACCCTTTCCCACCCTCTCTTTACGGATTCTCCTTTCTTGTTCATCTGCTGCTCTCCCTCTTCCCACTCTCCTCTCTGATTGTCAGTGCCACCATGGAAACTGGGAGCCCCAGGAAGATACAGTTCACCGTCCCCCTGTTGGACACCCACCTGGACCCAGAGGCAGCAGAACAAGTAAGGAGGAAGGGGAAAGAATGAAAGGGTTAGGAAGAGGGGCAGGAGGCATGGGCTGTTTGGGACCTTGGATATTTGTTTATTTTTATGCATTATCTTTGGGAGAGAGACTAAGTCCACTCCCTTTTTAGTAATAAAAAAGATCCAGAAATGAGAAATACTTTACACCATATGTTTGAGTGTCTTAGCAACTCAGCATAAAAAATAATCTAGACACTTTAAGGATGTATTTTTGAACGCAGAGCACTTGGGAGCTCATTGATTTTAGGATTTTTTTTATTCCATGTACACTTGGCTGATTTTTAAAAGGCACTTTCAGCTCTCTGTTAAAACGTGATGCGGCTGTTTTAATGTGTCTCCAGGGGTTATTTTTTTTCACTCATATCCTTAACCTATAAAATCCTGTTTTGTGAAAGCAGAAAACTCTAGTCAGTGAAAAAGCCTGGCTTTGTAGTTCTGTGCCTGTGGCAGATATGGTGTGTAAATGTGCCACTTTTTCCTCATTTTATGAATATAAAATGACCAGGCAGATGATTAATGAGCTTTCAATACCGCCAGCAGTGATTTAGGAGTTTTCCTACCACCCGTCTGCTTCCCATTGTTTTATTTCATTTCATTTATTTTCACGTCTCTTTTTGCTGTTCCTCATTTTCCTCTTTGACTGAGAAACTCAGGGGAACGTGAATGCTTGTAGACTGCTAAATGGAAGTCTGTTAGGTATCTGGGAGAGTTTGTCCTTGTGAGAGGATCTTCTGGTTAAATTAAAGTTAAGACTGAGACAGAACACCTACGACATTTTGTGATAATACTGTATGATATGATATCAAGTCTGTAAACCACTTCATTGTGTTGGTGTGTTGGTGTATTTTAGGTCAAGAGTAGTTTCTTTTTTATTCACACATTTACATTGTTCCAAACATATTTAATTTGTTATTAAAAAAAAAAACTAACCGTACAAAAAACAGAGTAATTACATTGCTAAAATTTGTTCATCCACATTTATCTTTACATAAAAACTTCATGTTTGACTCAAGAAAGAACTTTTCTATTTGCTCAGTACCGTATATTTTGTAATTCTTTTTAAAACGAGTGTGCACCGTTTTAGAGAAGGGAACTATTTAATTTGGTATTTTTCCTTCATTTCTATAAGTTTCAAATGGACTTTGTCAACTTCAGTTTTAAAATTTAACAACAATACATGCCAGGATATATCTGTACAGCTGTTTACTGTCTGAGCCAGCACACAATAACCTCAAATAATTGATCATCATCCTCACAGGGATGATATAAGATCACTGATACCCCAAGAGATCAAAGTAATTGCGTTCTTCTTATGAATAGCCATTGGCATTCCTCACACTTTCTGTTTGCTTCCACTTCCTCTGAATTACAAGCATAGAGATTTATGACTACCGTGCGGAAACACAACATAACATTTATATTTTCTTTTAGTGAATATATCAAGCCTTTTCATAGATAGCATTGGTTTTCATTTTGTTTAAAAATTAAGATAATAAAAGCAGCATGGTGGTTCATGCGCTACTGCCTTTCAATGAGAAGGTTGCCAGATCAAATCTCAACCAAGGGTCCATTCTGGGTGGAGTTTGCATGTTCTCTTTGTGCATGCGTGGGTTTTCTCCAGGTACTCCTGTGTCATCCCACAGACCAGAAACATGCATGTTAGACTGATTGGTAACTCTAAATTGCCCCTAGGTGTGAGTGAGAGAGTGAATGGTTGTTTGTCTCGTTTGCCTCATGTGTCCCTGTGATGGAGACCTGTCCAGGATGTCCGCCACCTTTTGCAAAGTGACTGCTGGATATAGGCACCAGTGACTTTTGTGACTCGAAAAGGAGAAAGTTGGTAAAAGATAATGGATAGATGGAAATCAAATAAAGCTTTAGTTTTAGTTGCTGATAAAAAAAAAAAACATGTTTTCAGTTAAACAAAACCACCATGATATAGTTATGTATGTTAACACATGCTGTGGTGGATAATTGTAGGAGTCACCAATAACAGGAAAAGATGAATTTGAACTTGAAACATTTCGGTGTAAAAAAATATCAACACTCAACAGAGGCAATATTTTATGTTAATTCAGAGTACATCAGCTTTTTAAAATGATACTACAGTATTGCCATTTGTGTTTAGTTTCGTACAAGTACTACAAGTACTTCTGGTAAGATGGCGCCCGTATACATGGCTTGCAATCCACCTCTGCTGATGGTGTTCGGATTATTTATGTTTTGTTCGTTTTTCATCTGGGACATAAACTCGCTGCTGGTGTATGACCAACAACAGCTTCTGGATCTTCGTTTTTCTGCCGCTTATTTGGACCAATATGTGTACCTCTGGATCCCCTCCTCCTAACCCCCCCCCCCCCCCCCCCCCCCCCGGCTGGTGAACGTGCCAGTTTACCTCCGTTGCGCTGCTCCTCACCTCCCTGCCAGGAGACATCGCTACAGACACCGGGGAAAACATGCTGGGTGGCTCGTAAAGCTTAAAGCCCTGAGCGCTGCATCTTCCTCTTCAGCTGGTGGTCAGGGTTTCCATCGCCATCTTATCGCGTGCCTGGACCAGGTAAACAACGGAGGGGCTGTTATTGAAAACCTGCAGCCATTGCCGCGTGTTAACTTCACCGCTGCTGGATCCACTTTGAACAGTATCCAGATGTGTTTGGTCAACGAAAGAGCTATTACCAACAAAACTTTTATCCTCAGGGATAAAAGAGCCCTATTTCAAGAGCACGAGTTGGACTTTTTGTGCATCACAGAGACTTGGATGTCTCCGGGTGAGTCTAGTACCTTGACGGAACTATTGCCACCGAACTGTCTGTATTTTAATGCACCGCGGCCATCAGGCCGGCGCGGTGGTGGATTATTAACAATATTCAAACCAACTTTTGACTGTAAACAACAGCCCATCCCAGTTTCCCGCGCCAGCTTTGAGCTGAGCGCAATTGAACTCTGCCATTCGCCTTCGACTTTATGCACACTCGTCTACCGCCCACCTTGATCTAAGGATTTCATAAATGAGTTTTCTGATTTCTTGGCTGAAATCACATCAAAATATGAGCATGTTTTCATTATTGGGGACTTTAATTTGCACGTGCGCTGTCAGGAGAAGCCCTTGGTTAAGGACTTTTTAGATTGATTGGACTCATTTAATCTAACGCAGAATGTAAATGGTCCCACCCAAGAGCGTGGACATACACTGGACCTTGTTTTAATTCATGATATGACTGTTAATAATCTTGTTATTGGTGATAATGTTTTTTCAGACCACATGCCAGTCCAGTTCGAGTTCACCCTCCCCCATCTAACTCCTAAGCCATGCATTCCTGCACGTAGTAGCCGGGCCATTAACCATTTCACTGACGCACGTTTCACAGATGCTTATAACTCTGAAATGATCATTCAGCCCCCGGTGTTTCTCACCACCACGGAGGAGCTGACTTCCCAGTTCAACTCTGCTTAAAGACTCTGGATCATGTCGCTCCTGTTAAAACTAGAAAATTAAAACTCAGAGCAGAACCTTGGCCAAGTGACGTCACCAAGGCCGTTAGTAGGAGGGCGGAGCGCAAATGGAGGAAAGACAGGCTGTAGGTCTCTTTTCAAATACTTAAAGAGAGTTGGCGCTGTTATCAGAAAACAATAAAAGCTGCTAAATCCAAATACTTTTCTGATATCATAACCTCAAACTCTCACAACCCACGTGTCCTCTTCTCTACCTTAAACTCTGTTCTCCACCTCACTGAACCATCACCTCTGGAAGCCTCGACTGAGCTGTGCGAGAACTTCTTACATTTCTTTTTGGAAAAAATTGCGACCACCCGGGCTCTCATTTCCTCTCCAACTCATGACCCATCCATCCCACCTAAATCTGTAGCTCTATTTGACCATTTTGAACCCATCACTCTATCTTCTCTAGAGCAGGCCATGTGCAGCTTGAAACCTTCTGGTACCCCCTTTGATGTGGTCCTTCCTCGACTACTAAAGGAGGTTTTTCCTACTCTAGGTCCTTCCATTCTGGCTATAGTAAACAGTAGTTTATCCACTGACGTGGTGCCAAAAACCTTTAAACATGCTGCTGTCCAGCCTCTCCTGAAAAACAACAAACCTTGACCCCTCAGTCGTTTCCAACTACCGGCCTGTCTCCAGACTCTCATTTGTTTCAAAAATACTGGAGAAAACAGTTGAGTCCCAGTTGAAGTGCTTCCTGGAGGATCACACCATCTTAGAGCTATTCCAATCTGGCTTTAAACCTCTCCACAGCACTGAAACTGCCCTATTGAAGGTTTTTAATGACATCTTCAGATCCACAGATACTGGTGATTCTGGGCTGCTTGTCCTATTGGACCTCACAGCCACCTCTGACACCATCGACCATGAGATCCTCATTGCTAGGTTGGAGCAGTGGGTGGGCATCACAGGGTCAGCCCTCAATTGGTTCAGATCCTACCTCACTGACAGATCCTTTTGTGTCTCCATCAAGGATTTTAGTTCTGCAGTGACAGAGCTTAAATGGGTGGTTCCGCAGGGGTCCATCCTGGGTCCCCTCCTATTCCCTCTATACCTGCTGCCACTTGGTGCTATTTTCCGAAAACACAACATACCATTTCAATTCTATACCGACGACTGTTAAATTTACTTCCCCCTAAGACACAATGGTACATGCTCTATTCAGCCTCTTCTCGACTGCCTGGCTGACATCAGGGACTGGATGGCTTTAAACTTCTTAAGTTTCAATGAAAAGAAGTCTGAAGTCATATTGTTCCCTCCCAATGACACAATCACAAACCACTGCATCGACCTTTTCACTCTAACCCTGTCAGAAAAACAAAGAGGCACTAATCTGGGAGTGATAATGGACCCTTCCCTGAAACTTAACAATCATGTAAACATGATTGATAAATCATGTTTTTTCCAACTGAGGCGGCTGTCTAAACTGAAGCCCATATTGTCCAAAAATAACCTGGAGACAGTAATTCATGCATTCATTA